AATTTACGATAAAATTTCATAGAAATTACAGAATGGGGTAAAAATTGCAAATTTTACTGAACAAATGTGTCGTTCCACATGCCTGAATTAACGAGATTTTTTGATGACAAATACTCATATCTAAAGAGTTTTTCTTTTACACTCAGGTAGAAAAAAAACGTCATATTAGAGGTTGCGCCGCCTGGACATACCTTTGCTTACAAAAACACTAACAATTTATTAAAAAATAAAAATTATTATTTATGGTTTATTCTATAGATAGAAAAGATGATGATAACTAAATGTGTAAAAATTCATTGATGTACCTAAAGCGGTTTTAATTTTATGACGCTAGTTCACGAACTTTTTGATAACCCCTCGTACATGTACCCCTTAACAACTAGCAAACTATAATAAAAGGAAACTTTTTGGATGGATTACATAACTTTTATCCATGAAACAAACCATTTTGTCAAGGAACTTTTTGATGCGCGAGAATAAAAACGTCCTTTATCTGTGTACTACGTCACCAGTTTCAGAGAGGGATGATATGGATCCAGAAAACAACAGTGTGGTGATCCGGAACGTCGGATCACACCGTCACGTGATTGCATAGATTCAATTGTAAAACTGAGTGACAAACAGTTGGATACATAATAAATGTGTAGACTACAACTTAGTGTTCTTAAGAGTATGTTACATCTAAAAAAAAAAAATCAAGCATATAAAATCAATATTTGTGTTTTTCTCTTAAAGAGAAATAATTTGAATAATGGACGTATACAACTTCGCAGTATAAAACGAATGTTTTAGAAATATCAACTAAAGGCATCATCTAATAATCAAATATGAATTTTAAATCAAGATATAGACAATGTAATTTTTGAACACCCTTTGAGTAATTTACCTGAATGTTTTAACATTATATGAAGGTTTTTTTTTCCAGAATTAGGCACATATATAGAGGCATATACTTTATTTTCAAATATTATTGTCATTATTAGAATAACACGTGCAGTGAAATCACTTTTGTTTTTGATTTTTTTTTGTTTTGTTTTGTTTTGTTTTCGTTTAATTAATTTCGTTTAGTCAGTGTGTAATTCTGTTGCATTCGAGGTATGAAGAGACCCATAAATTCATGTCCACCACGAAATGTAAATGAAATATATCATATAGAGATAACGAACAGTATTCAAGCTCAAAAGATCATTCAAATAATACAAGTCAGGAGTAGAGCAAACACGAACCTCAAAAACATCAGAGGGGGGATCAAGTCCCATGGAGGAGTGAGCATCCTCTTCCGGCCGGTTAAACCCGGCCTTTGTTCCTTGCCATGATCGGGAAATAACATAAAAATCCGGCGACAATTCAGTGAGTAAAGATGGCCTATCAATTAGTATGAAAACCGTCAGCCATCATTTGACTTAATGATAGATTTTATTTGCTGACAAGATCATTGTATCGATCATAGAACTTACGAAATTGTGACTTCTATCGAGACTGTTGATATTCTTGTTTCATCAACTTGTTTGTCAATAACTTACCTCATTTTAGAAGTTATTCATACGTAGAGCATGCTCCTGCGTATCGAATCAACTGAGAGATATAAACCCTATATGCAGGTGATGAGGGTATATTTGCTGCATACGTGAGGAAAGTTGACGATTGAAAAGTTAAAGCCATCACGTTAATCGTCAAGCTTTTCGTTAGATTACCATTAACGCCTTTTTCTAGTTCAAATCTAGTAAAATTTCCAAATATGAGACAGATGTGTCAGACTCTGTGGTATCTTTTCTTATAAGCTCACTGGGATATATCGTGTCGACATATCATTAATTGATAATACGTTGCTGATATATCTAAATGTCGAGATGAAGGCCAAAGCTGGAGTTTTCTTTTCCTCATGTATAATATTTTGAATAAATTCTGATTTATATGAATACAAAATAGGTCTGCTAATAACGTGGAGCAATTGATACCCATGGGAATTCCAACAGATTGTTAGAAGACCTGGTCTCCAAAAACCACCTAGATATTGTCAATCAGAAACTCAAACATCTTTTTATATCAGCTTCAAAGTACTTGTGTGTACAATAAGAATGTTTTAACAAAATAATTTTGCAAATGACCAATTTCAAGGTAAGTAAATTTACGAATTCCATTTTTATAGAAAAGGTAGCTGTAAATAAAGTCAAAAGACTGGACTTTAATTTATCGTGGGGAATGGTTGTATACAGAGTTAAAAAGTCGTAAGTTTTTATGCTATTGATTTTGGTAAAATTCTTTGATTTCAAATTTTCCAAAAGTTCCTTGGAATGTTTAAGTATCCACATTGATTTACACAACTTCTTGAATACATGTATATTGTTACAAAGTACTGCTGAAGTTTGTCCTTCACTGCTGTTAATATTTTAGTGAGGAGTAAAGAAAGAGGTTTGGTAGAACATTTACTAAGGATTTTGTGAATTTTCGAAATCCAATATAACTATTGTATACATCTGTACATAACTACTAATAACACTTCCCTAACAATGAAATTAATTCCCGAACCAATATTCGACTGAGAAAAATTTAATGATAATTTCACTATATTTATTACGTAGTGCCATTGTGCACCTTTTACCTTGTGTTTTGATTAGACTGCTAGGGTTTTCCCGTCGCAAACTGTGGACTTTGCCATTATACTCATATGGGAGTGGGATATCATTTTGTTAGCTCAGTGCTCACAGTGCCTCTAGTTTTTTTCTAGTCCATTTGGACGAAAAGAAATGTCCATGTGAAGTAATGTGCACGTCATTATATAGTTATTGAAAATGTCGTTTAAATAATGGAAAGAAGGCTTCATAAATCTGTCACTTGATGTAAGTGTTAAAATCATAAAACATTAAAAGAAAAATCAATTGGATATTCCTAATGTCCGTACACTGTCGTTTTTAGAGGTCGAACTATCCTCACATTGTATCTCGTAGCTGTAAGCATCTGTTTCTAAAATGTCAATATATCCATCATCATTTGTGTGTCTGTTGTAATTTTCACGATTATTTGAAGAATTGTCATGATTTCTCGCACTACATACATTTATCCCTGAATACACATTTTCTCGCGAATCTGCATGTTGTGTTATTATGTATGGATAAATTTCTTGATAGTGTGGAAAATCTTCATTAACTCTTGAGGGATAATCATATATCCCTGCATACCTATTGTCCCTTAAACTTGTAGATGTAGTGACGAGGTATGGATCAGGTAACTTTCTTCTGCCATGAAACCTTATACAAAGATGAACAGTTGTGTAGAAGCTTAGGACTGCTATTACAATGCTCACTATCATAATAATGTGCTTTAATGAGATATCCAATATACTATTTTCTGGAAGCTTGGTAACTGGTTCAGTGGTTTGTTCTGGAACTGATATAAATTTGCTACTGCTGTTCCAATCTTTTTTAAAAATCCGTGTTTCGGTGTTTGCAATATTGCCTGAAAATATTTGATATAATCATAAGGTATTGATCTGTCACATCCGTCTGCTGATATCCATAAGATACAGAGATATATTAAACAAATGAAAATGTACCTAATTTGCAAAATTCTTTACTGTTCACAGGTTTCTTTAAATCTTCCACGAAAGGATATTGACATGTCTGGCAATATCTGCCCGTGGTATTGTGGTCACAATCAAGACATATCCCTCCACTTTTTCCATCAACAACCAAGGCATCGTACCTGCACTTCTTTGAGTGACCATTACAGTTGCAACCTAAAGTATTACTTTTTATTATTATTATTATTATTATGTATTTCTGCCAAAACAAAGAATCATAAATCTTGTGAATGATATGTATTGTAGTAAACATTACTTTAACAAAACCATTCTAGTGTTAAGCGACAAGTATTTTTATTTCAAATATTATTTCATACGTTTGCATTTGTTTGACTGAAAGAAATCAGCTGGCTGCCATGGGCGTTCATTGTAATACTCTTGGCATTTTTCACAATTCTGACCTGTTGTTTTATGTTTACAAACACATTTTCCATTGACCTATAAACAAACACATATACTAAATTTAAATATAGTATAAAATATTTGTAACCCTGTATTCAGCAAGTATGGAAATAATTTGAAGTACCTTCTCTCTATCACACACACATATGCACACAGTCACTCAAACACACACACCCTCAGACACACTAACACACACCCTCACACACACACACACACACTCTCTCTCTCTCTCTCTCTCTCTCTCTCTCTCTCTCTCTCTCTCTCTCACACACAATTTTAAATGTACCATATTTCTTGCATCTGTGGTGAAATGATATCCAGAAACTGGTTTGCAGCGTGAGGCATGTCCATAGCAGGTACATGTCCCTTCTATCTTTAAAGTGTACACGCTATATGTATCTATTGTAAAGATAAAGTATAATTAAAACATCCCAGGGAAACAGTTTAAGTATAACGTGGTAACAGCGGTAGAAATATATGTTAAGTACAGTACTTATCAGCTACTACAGGAGGATATCATTTTTTATCAGACTATATTGGTAAATTCTGGGACTATCAGTCATTTTCACCCAGTACTTAAGTAAGGGTTTTTATTATTCAGAGAGCATGATTGAAAACCACTTTTCACACATTATTTTTTCCTAAATTCGTTTTCATTTTTTTAATAGAGTTAATCGAAGCTTCGAAGATAAATGGATATGTCTTAATGTACAGTGGAATCATTTGATTTCGTGGTAGTTCAATTTTCGCAGAATTCCTGAGTACTCTTCATCTACGAATAAACACCCTCCACGAATTGATAAACCCAGGTAACAAAGTCATATTTCCTCTTGTATATATAAGGGAATACACGAAATCACGTCCCAACAACCCTGTTAGATTGAAGCAATCTACGAAAATTGACCCCTACGAGTTTTAATGATTCAACAGGAGTATCCCTGAGAGGAGATTAAGCAGGCACTTTGTTTCATGGGGCGGAATCCCCCAAATCGTATTTTCCAGAATAACATTTTGCTGTTTAGTGTGGATTTTCTGACTGAAAAACCATCTGATCCTCTTTCTTTGTTGCATTATGATCGAGATCTCCTAGGTTATAACATTCATTTTTTTTGGGATAACAGAGAAAGAGGTCAACAATGGGTTTTATTTTCTTTTTTTTTTTACTCATACAAAATTTACCAATTACCTCAAAGTATAAATATCCAATAAAACATATTGTATGATATTTTTGAAGCTAAAGATAGGGTTATTGATGCTGTGTAAATGAATTTCTAGCTAAAACAATATTTCCGAAAACATTTTATAACCATTATTTTGGCTTCAATAAATGGTTGATATTGATGACTTACTTATAAGAGAGAACGCTGTGAAGTTGATTCTCAAATTTGTGAAGCTTATTAAGTTTAAAATATCTTTACCAAGAGGTGTAACAAAGGCATGTTGTGGTATACTTAAAAAGTAGCTTATCTGAAACAAAAATAATTATTGATATTCAGGGGTTTTTTTTAAATCTTTATGCATCTCAGAAAAAAAAATATTCTGAATGATCTAAAATAAAAATCGAACTATTAAATTCTTTTACTAAAGATGAATACAAACATTTTTGCACAATATTAATTTTATTTGCACATGATTTCGTACAGATATGAAAACCATTGATCATTGACTTAAATAATTTGATAAAATCTAGAGTAGAAAAAGAGTAGAAACAAAATATTTGCATTACTTTATTTACCTCTTGTTTATCCGAACTTGTGTTTCCTATCTCCTGACAATAGGTGTCTAAGTATCCAAGTTTAGATTTCGAAATCGTGGACTTAATTCCAGGCCATGAAAATTCACAACTTTCAGCAAAGTATCGATAAACTCCCCATGTTCTTGCAAAATTGGAGGATCGTTCTATTAAAAATGCTTTTGGTCCACAGTTTCTAAACTTAATGGTTACACCAGTAAACCAAAACGTTGTTTCCAAATCAAATTGAATAAAGGCTTTTTCTTGTTCAGGCTGAGATTGCCACCAATTTTCTTCAGTGTCATAAAGCACATTGCTGATTTGACGAGAAAGAGAATTGTTTTCAGACCAAGGTGCCCTCGAATCGCACCAGAAGCATCTTGTGTAGTGACCACCTCCTGCATTTTCACAGATATTCTTACGATGATGTAAACCGCATGTTGAAGATGCCTTAAGAAATAAGCTCCGTCCTATCAGTAGGTTTCCTCCATCCGTTGAGCCAAAACTTCCATAAGGTATCATTTTTGTAATTCGTGTTGTCCATGTGGGATTTGAAGGGACTTAAATAAATTTAAGAATGAAAAAGATATCGTTTTATGATTAAATGTCTTCCTTGGATAAAACAAATCATTTGCGATAAGTCTCATTTTAGCAATAAAATGTTTTCTTTTGTTTCTTGATGAGCGAATGCAACATCGGTGCAAAAATACATAGCTAGGTTTTTAATTTTTATCTCACTATGAATAAACAAAGAGAGATATTTTGTTTATATCATGTTATGTAGGCAAAAGTACGTAAAATATTGTTATTACAGTTTACCACAATTAATACTTCCATTGATTTGAAAAAAATATATAAACTTATTCGATTTTTCTTAGATTGTAGAAAGTGAAGATAACAAACAGTTGCCAATCTCATAAATCCAATAAACAAAACAATTCATGAAAGTGCAAAAACAAAGACCCCTTAAAAACACCACAGGTGGGATCAGGTGCCTTAAAGGAGTAAGCATCCCCTGTCGACCGTTTACACCCGTCGCGAGCTCCGTGTATTGATCAGGTAGGCCTACATGTATACGGATTACTCTTAGTCAAATTTAGTATAAAAGCAATGGCTTAACTATTGGTAAAGAATATGTCTGTAAATTAGTCAAATTTAGTATAAAAGCAATGGGATAACAATTGGTATAGCATATGTCTGTTTGTTTGTTTGTTTGTATGTTGTTTAACGTCCCTCTCGAGAATTTTTCACTCAAATGCAGAGGCCACCACTTGCCGGTGGGGAGCTGCAAATTTTGTCCTATACTCGGCACTTACGGCCGTTGAGCAGTGAGGGATCTTTTTCGTGCCAGCGCTTACTGCGACACGGGACCTCGGTTTATACGGTCTCATCCGAAGGACCTGTCTCCACCTCCCACAGTGGGATTCAAACCCGCGACGTAAGGATCAACTCCTTACTCCACGACTCTAGAGCAGACCCTCTAACCACTGCGCCACGCGGGCGACAGAATATGTCTGTAAAAATACGACCAAATGATAAGATGTATTACAAACAAAGGCATGATAATGACCGTAAAAATTGCGAGAGGTGGATCTTAAACCGGTTTGTTGAAATGTTTGTCACATCATTTTTTTTTTTTTTTTTTTTTTTTTTTTTTTTTGTCATTTGCTTGTCTTGGTTTAAAAAAAAAAAACTGACCACAGTAATGTGTTTGTGTCGAATCAGTAGAGAGACATAAACACCATATGCAGATATTTTTTTTTTCTTTTTGCCGATGAAGTTTATTTTGGAAATACTATCTCAATATAGAGGAGATATTTCCTTTTAATATAAAAGCTAGAGTATTCCAAGGAAGGCATGTGTCGCCTGCTTTATAGCACCATTTAAGATGTAAATGAGTATACAGTGGTCAGTTATTTATCTGCTAATAGAATTATAGTTAATGCTTTTGCATGCAAAGAAAGAAAAACGGATACTAGTGATGTAGTCCATATTTTTGTATGCAAAGAAAAAAATCCACGGATAAAAAGACTTTGATAGAATATAAATTGTGATACATATTACATGTAGTTGAATAAAATGCTTCCCCACCTCTCAAAGATAAAATGAATAATGAACTTGAAATATTAGAAATTAGAATTTATTTGTCATTTTATTCAGTTTCTTCTACAATCCCTAGACAGATTTCAGTCCATCTTTACTGCAATTTTCAGTCTACAACTTTATTTGAGTGCGATCCATCTTGGGATTCCAATCTCGATGTATTTTCATGGTATTTAAATTTCATTTTGTGTGGTATACTGTATAAAATACAGTTTCAAAGTACAGTGTCACGCACTCGTAAACATGTGATATATATACATGTACTAGCTATCAAAAGTCGTCTGCCTTTCAAAATTCAAAAGACAGTTTTTAAATTAACTGTTTGAATTATTTTTTTGCAAAGGAGGTCAAAGGTCAAGGTCAAGTGGACTGTCACGCTCGTATTGTTTAATAATATCTTATGACAAACAGTACGCATGCTTAATAGCACAGACTTACATAATGTTAAAAATGTCAAAGATAAGCTGTATATCAGTCCTATATATTATTTCGAAAATTAGGTCAAAGGTCAAGTTACAAGGCCAAGAGGTCGGTAACCATAGTATTTTTCAAAAGCCATAGGGCCAAGCAATGTATTTCCAAAAATTAAATCCATATGTCTTACAGTTCTCAAGATATAAGGTGTGACAGACAGACAGACCGAGGAACGGACGGACAGACAGACGCCGGGTAAAGTGATCTGCTTGCAGGTGACACAAAAATCACATGTTAGAATTGAAGAAAATGAAATTCGAAATCATGTTTATGTTATTCTTGATTTGCTATTAATAGTACAAAAACCTTTGATACTATAGTAAACAAGGGCTAACTATAGTTTACAATAGTTTTTTTTTTTTTTTTTTTTTTTTTTTTTTTTTTTTTTTTTTTTACAGTAATAACTATGTAAATACGTAATCATTGCATATTATTTAAATGCATCCACTTACCGGTACTAATTTTTTCATTAGCTTAATCAATGTACAGTACTGCAGTGTTTATTAAAGCTGTTGTTTTCATTAGAATGAAAGAAACTTTCCTATGCTTGCAAGTATAGACTATAAACTCAGCCTCATGTAATTAAAACCGTAGCCCTTACCTGTAGGAAAAATATGACAAATGATTTTAAATACCAATACTAACCTGAGAAATACACAAAACACAATACCAAAATCTTAATATCAAGCATCTTTCTAACACATTTTAAGAATATTAAAAAAAAAAAAAAAAGGAGGAAATGAATAAATTAAATATAGTTCTTGTTACAAAAATTAAAATTTTAAAAGAAATTAGTCATCTTTATATTTTGCTCAGTGATACTTTAAATTTGTCACCGGATTTGCGTTTAGATCCTTGTGTCTAAGTGTTTTAGTCATAAATATGTACATCCTCTTAATATTATTTCCTTTAATTCTTATGAAAACCATGGTCTTTATTCAATACTTCAACACCTCTAACCAATCTTTTTAGTTTTCACCCATCATTGAAATATACAAGGACGTACATATTAAATATGCAATATTTAACGTAATTACTTTATCTAATTTTTACATAGAAAAAATACAAACAATAAAATGTATTTGTTATTTTAGTACGGGAAATAAAGTTGCAGCTGTTACAGAAAAAAATAACCTGCTAACGCAAGTTATGTATTTTTTTCTGCAACAGCTGCAACATTAATTTCCTTACTAACAATTTCATTGTTTAAAGAACACCACAAATTATTTATTGTTATACCCCTATACGAGTATAACAGCTGATATGTAAATCTATACGAAAAAAGGTCAAGCATTTTCACTGTTCCGGCGTCTGCTGGAGTGGAACTGCTAAAATAACTGTTAGAAAGATCATTCACCGACGCAACGTCATATGGCTCTACAACCGTTCATTATTTACGTAAACTGTTTAAAAATTAAATAGTGTATGCCTTGCACTTACAAAGGAAGAGGAAAGTAAAGCCATCTAAGAAAGCAATGGCAACAAAAAAAAAAAATACGAATGTTGTGAAAGCGGAATAAAACATTCTCCGTGATTGTTTACTGACCTGTGTCAGTCTATCTATTTCTTTTTTGCTGAGGGTTGATTTAAATGCGCCGAAAATTTCTATTGTGCAGCCGGAGGAAACGATCATGTAGAAGTATGTACGTTTACAAATCTACACTTTCCATACTGTCACATTTAATGTCCAAACTGTCTATCATAATAATTTCACCTATATAGATATTTAAATCATAAACGTTTGCCCATAGTACTATTTATAGGAGAATTAAAACTCACCTTGGCCGGGTTTCACAAAACCATCATAAGATTTGTCCTAAGACAGGTCTGAAGATTATCTTAAGATCTGACTTATGACGATCATAAGATTTGTCATTGCTGTTTCACAAAACTATCTTAAGTATAAGAAATCTTAAGACAAATCTTACGACAAATTTCATGCTTCAATATTAAAAGAAAATGTTTACAAATATGTTTGATTTCTTTGAAGTATTGAAATAATAATTTCTTTTGAAGTTATACTCACAGAAAAGAAAAAAAATCCATTGCCTTAACTTCAATGTACTTAAAAAAAGGGGGGGGGGAGGAGGAGGGTGTCAGAGAAAGTAAATTTGAATAAACACTTGCTCATAAAATAGTAGTTGCTGACAAAATGTATGTGATACTACTTTTAATGAAATCCACCACTGCATTTGTGCCTTAATTTTTTGGCAAATAATGAATGGTTTTCCAATAAAAGTTGAAACACCAAATTCATGTTCAAAGTTCGATAAAAAAAATCTATGAAGGTGTCTCTAAAACGTAATAGATGGTTTTCCATCGAGATGATTAAAGCAAGAGTTATTTCCCCATGGCCGCCATATTGTAGATCAACATCCCCAGATCCCTTCATAATTCAACTAAGTTCAATTTGTTATACTGGGCAAATTGAGGTGAAGTCAACGCCGTTTTTCTTATGAATATACGTTTGTTAAAGCTTCTTTTAATTCATAATTTCAATATTGTAAATATTTTTCCCATATATTTCTGGCATGCATGTTTAAAATTGGTTGCTCAAAGAGGAAAATTCACTACTTAGACCCACAAGATGGTCGTCAAGGGGAATAACTCCGAGGCAAAATACGTCATAAGAAAACTATGAATCTTTGCAGTTCTCAACTTTTACAAAGATGCAGTACTTAGGGTACTGCATCGGCTGAATCTAGTGGAGCATATCCAATCAGTCTTCTTTTCCTTCATCGTTTTCACACACGTAATCTCTACCGCGAATGACCTTAGTCGATAAAATAAAGGTTGGAACTGTTCCTTCACCAGCGCTCGGCACTTTGAAGTGAAAGTTGCGGGTCCTTTGGATGAGACCTAAGTAACAGACGAAGTAGAGAAACGAAAGAAAAATTTCTAAACAGAATTCTAATTTTTTGAAATGCTATGAAGAAAACATGTAG